TTCAAGGATGTGGTGGAGGTGGTTGCAGCAATCGTTTCAGATTAGGTTGGGGGAAGAAGAAGAAGGATTTCTCTTCTTTTTTTTTTCTTTTGTTTTTGAGTTTAGTTTTTGATTTGTTTAATGTGGTAAATAAAGAATTACTATTTTGCCCTTTTAAAATTGATTAAAAGTGGTCAAAATTTAGTTTGATGGTTAACTAATGAAATTTTTTATGGAAACCATTCAAAAGGGCCTCACATGTAACATTTGGAAATGTTAACGGTGGCATGATTGCAACAAATGAAAGGTTTGAAAAAAGTCTGCTAATATTTCAAAAGTTTGAAACTTCTACTGCAATTATCCCTAAAAATAATTTAACTTAAGTAAAGGTTATTTTGGGAAAAGTAAAGTTTTCGACTAAAAAAGCCAAATACACTATTTTCAAAACTAGAAATTTTCATTTTTTATAGAATTAAGTTAAATCCGATTACTAATTTTTTTTTTTTTTTTTTTTTTTTTTTTTTTTTTTTTTTTTTAAAACACAAAAACATCAAATGTCTGTTAGAAGAATATCCGAGGCTCAGATTCACCTTTATCGTCAAAAAATCGAAGGCTGAATCCGCCATGGCTGCAAAAATCAGTTGCCTACTGAGATGGGCAAATCAGATTTCGCCGCGCCAATATACGGATTCGCTTATATCTGATCTTCTGATTCAAAAATTCATCACAGCCTCAAAAATTGATTAATCACTGCACATTTTCGATAACCGATCTCAATCTATTGAGCCCAGGACAGAACTCAATGCTTTTTCTTCGCGAAAAAAATTAGTACAGATTAACGATTAGGGTTTGTAAGAATGGAAATTACTGGGGATCATCATCATTTTCATCATCAAGTTACATCACAAGGGCTGTTGACATAGCAAAAAGTTGTGAAATTATAGGCCACGATTTCGCAGAGGGGGGGCAACCACCCTCGAAAACACCCTCCTCTTTTTCCGTCCCTCATTCTTCAGCAAATGAGATTTTTGGGTCTTCATTTATACCCACGCCCAATTGGCCCCATTATTCCATATTAAATTATAATTATTTTTCCTTTTTTCTTATCAATTACACATTTTCCAATAAAATAATAATACACGTAAATTCAAATTTTTTTTTAAAATTAAATTACACATTCTCCAAAAAATTCTATTCTTCTTATTATAACGTGAAATAAAAGAGACCAAACGAGCGTATAACCTGCATAATTTATTATTATTTATATTGATATTTGACTTTTTTTCACCATTTGATTCCCAGCTTACAACATGTGAGTTTGGTCATTTTACACCTCGCTCTCTATTTAAAATAAAACTCTTTAATTTTCATATTAATTTTTAATCACATTCATGTAATAAAATATTTTATATGTAAATTTAAAAAGTTTTCTTACTTTTTTACCATACATTGTCCAAAAAATAATATTCAAAATATTATTTTGATGGCCATCAAATAGGGACTTAATCGAGAAGGATTGTAGTTTTCAAACTCGATTCGATCATTCTTACAAGTAAATATTAATTAATTGGCCTCGAAAAGTGTTATAATTTTCAAACTCATTTAATTTATTCTAAATAGTTCAAAAATTCACTAAAATTAAAGAAAAAGATTTATATCTAAAAGTTTAACCATTACCCATTTCAAAATTAAGAAATAAGGTTTAAAACTTCAAAAATTAGGTATTATTAAATTTTATTTATGAAATTATTAATTAAATATATTAATGTCACAAATTTATAGAATTTGATTACAAATTATCGAATTAATTGGTTACAATTTAATTCTGGGTCACAAATAAAAAATTTTATAAATCACAAATTGTTTCTCTGTCACAAATCAAAAAATTTATAGGTCGCAAACTATTCTCTGTGAGAGTTTAAAAATTTTAGAGGTCATAGATTATACATCAATTAGAAAATCACAAATTTTATAAAGTACGTCTTATTTAATGGTCACAAATTATCATATGAATCGATCACAACTTAGTAAATTGTGAGTCACAGTCACATTTTTTAGGTTACATTTTCATTGATTACAAATTAACCAATTTTTTGAGTCACAATCAACCAAAGAATTAGTTACAAATTATTTATGGTTAACAATCAACCAAATAACTGATCATAAACACTCTCCATGCCCAACCTAACCTCACTATCACCACTAAAAACGATGATACTATTACGTTGTCGTTGCACCGTCGTCGCCACTGCCAAATCTAACAAAACCACTGCCACCATCAGATCCAACAACGCCACCATCAAATCCATCCCCCTAGATCTACCGTCGATCCAACAAAATATATCTCTACTACCAGATCCACCACCACCATTTCCACCAATAAAAATCACACTCTAAACAAGTAAAACCATCGCCACCACCATTCATTGTGCGAGGTGCCTTAAAGCGCAACGTTTCCAAGTCGCTACGAGCAATGCTATAGCAAATATGCCTCGTTGACGTTGCGAACGGCTTTTGCGCATGACGTTACGTAGAGAAGCCTTGTCGATGGCGATGCACGACTTCCTGTAGTACTGTTCCGACGTCTAGGCATGTCCGGCGACGATGGTGAGGTAGAGAGAAGAAGAGGTAGAGTAGAGAGAGAATGGATTGAGAAGGAAGAAAGAAATGAATATTAGGGTTTGAGATTTGGATTTATAATCAATTGAATTTTATAATATTATTATTTTTTATTAAAATATCGTATTATTATATGATTTTTGTGTATATATAGAATATAATTCTTGTTATAAAACTAAAGAAAAGAGAGAAAATAAGAAAAGAAATAGAGAGTCAAACCGTAACTCCTGCCCCTATGTTAGGTGGCTGTAATATTTTGTTATGTTCTACCGCTATTACGTCAAAAATAAAAGGTTCGTTCCAGATTCAAAACTGACCCCCCCCCCAAAAAAAAATAAAAATAAAAAAATTCTCGGTACATCGTCTTTTCCTGAAATGGAACTTTCATACTAGAGCAAGAAAAGCAAGTCATTAATGGATATTATTAAGAGGGTCGTGCAGATCCAGTCTAGTCTCACTTTCATTCCACAAGCATCAAGATCAAATAAATGTGCATCTTTCGATAGGAAATGCTTACTCTTTTTTATGGGTTCATTTTTTGTTTAGGGCCAATAACTGGCCACGTGTATTTCATTCTCTTCGATCTTCTCTTTGATTGATTTTTATGAAGTCGCACTAGGAGCTAGTTCTTGCTATCTAAGAATTGCTTCATGGATCTCATCGAAAATATTTGATACTTCTTGGCCTTCCTAGCCATCTTCAGTGTAGCCTACCCACTGAAGACCATAACGTAAGTAACTCAGTGCTTCATACAGGAAAAATGAAAGCAGAATTAGTTCGGATCCTCCCAAGGTTTGAAGAGGGGCTTGGTAGATAAAAAAGTTAGGGGAGAAGGACTGAGTAGATGATACATTATGGGACGCCTACCCATGAGTATGACGCTCCTGTATAAAGCCGTATCCAATATTAGACTGAAAAATAAAGTTTAGAAAGGTCTGACTTCTAAGATATCTAAATGAAAGAATTTCTTGTAATGCCTCCAGATAAGGTTAATCCGCAAGCATCGATCATACATAAGGTTTTGAATCCTAAAGCGCAAGCGAGCTTAGCATTCAAATCGATTCTCATCCCTAGCCCTAAAAGGTGGACACCCCTCCCCCCCACCTTGCCCGGGCTTTGGAAACCCCATTGAAGTCGAATTCCCATTATAAGATTTACAATTGAAATAAAATAGGTCTTCTAAACTAAATAATGTTTATCTATGTATCATGATAATATATGTATCATGATAATACTAAATAATCATCAATAATTATCTCATTATTTTACAACAATTCTAATTTTTGAAATGCAATATTTAAAAGTAGAAGTCCATGTAATTTCCACTAAAATTAATTCCTTACGCAGCCCAATTCAACAAATACAATTGGATCATTTGACAACCCAATCCAAACCATCAAACCGAACATTCCATCAAATTTTATGTGCGTAGGCCTAAGAAGTCCGAAACGTTCCATGTAGACTAAACCAACCCCTCAATCCCATAACCAAACAGACATTTATACCACTAGCTAAAGTTGAACGTGCAATATCATTAGTCAGAGTTGAACATACAAATGCACGTTATTTTTAAATACTTTATAAGTGATGTAAAAATAGTATTTAATACCAATTTGTTGGAATAATTTGATGAGTCTCAAACGAATTAAAGAAAATAAAATTTAAGAGAATAAAATTGCAATCTTAAAACTTGAATTCTATGATTCAAATTTTTTGTGATAATAAAATATTACAAATGAACAAGATTTTTATTCTACATTCATTACATATAAATAAATTATTAATACATGAATCTAAACATCCATTAAAATTACTAGATACATAAATAAAAATAAGTTTATCTATAATAATTTTAAATTCATGTACATCAAGAGTTATTGAGTCTAGATTAATGTGAATGGTAATTAATCGAGAATTATTAACACAAAATTCATACATGATAAATATTTCGTAATATTTATTACATATTGAAAAATAAAAAGTAAGATATTATTGAATTATTGTGGGGTCAAAATTATCCAAAAAGTGATTATCACTTGATGTGAGAATTGATTAAATCTTAAATGATTGTAAGTTATGAATTTTTTTTTAAAAATAATAAATGAATAATGACGATGAATCTTTCAAATTGTACACATAAAAAATTTATTTAATCAAAATTAATTATATTATAATTACTTTTCAAATTATAATTCAGTCAATACGATAATGACTCAACTCGACCTACATAGACACTACCCTCATACATTCTAGCCAGCTGAACTATGGTCATATTCCAGAAACAACCCAATATTCTAGGACTTTCCAAATATCTTCAATTGCACACGTGTAAGTCCATAAACAGTCCACGTATATCACCACTAATGGAATGTCACATTTATATTTATCTCAAAATCAAAACCCACAACTGGATTTGCCTTATCCAGATATTCCTCCTCTTTCTTACACACAAAGCTACATATTTCTCTCATTTGATTGCAAAAATAATCTTAAGAAATGGCCAAGAGAGAGATGGAAGTGGTGAAGGGTTTGGACGTAGAAAAATACATGGGAAGATGGTACGAAATAGCTTCATTTCCATCAAGATTTCAGCCCAAAAATGGTGTCAATACAAGAGCCACCTACACTCTGAACCCTGATGGAACTGTACGTGTTCTTAATGAGACATGGACTGATGGCAAAAGAGGGTTCATTCAAGGCACTGCATGGAAGGTTGATCCCAAAAGTGATGAGGCAAAACTCGAAGTCAGATTCTATGTGCCCCCGTTTTTGCCTATAATTCCTGTCACTGGGGACTACTGGGTTTTGTATATTGATGATGATTATCAGCATGCTTTGATTGGCCAGCCCAGTAGGAGATATCTTTGGGTATGTTATTCTCATTTTATTTCTTCATATATATTCATGTCATCATGTGGGGTGTATCTTTTTTATTTTACCTTCTTTTCATATTCACATTTTTATCTGTTTGGTGGTTTCTTGATTTGGATGATTTCTTGTTCTTCGAATATTGAAAATTCTTGATGATTTTAGAGGAATTTGGCTAAGCTTGGTAGCTCTTAAGAGTTGTTTCGAATGTTAGCCTCTGTTTAGTACACACAAAAATCATATTTTCAGTAGATTACGATAATATATACTTAAAATGCTTATAAAAGTTGTGATTCCTTTTAAGTATAAAACAATCTCAAATGTGTGAATATAAAAATTCTCAAATATGTGAACATAAAAATAGTTAAAATTTGTTGCGAATGAATTGATGATCCTAATAAACATATGTTGGTTCATTTTCTTTGTGTTTGTTTCAGATATTGTGCAGGCAGCCCCAGCTCGATGAGGAGACATATAATATGCTTGTACAAAAAGCTAAAGATGAAGGGTATGATGTTGAGAAACTCCACAAGACACCACAGGCTAATCCTCCACCAGAGAGTGAAGATGCACCTAAGGACACCAAAGGAATTTGGTGGATTAAGTCCATTTTTGGGAAGTGATTAAGAAGCAGATTAACTATAAAATGAATTAAATGTGTGTAAGAAATATAAAAAATTATGGTCAGAGCCCTATCCAAACTTCATGTGAACGACGTGTTTGGTTGGTCACTTAGACAATAAAGAATAGAAGTGAAAATCTTGCTTATTATATCGTCTGATTGTGTTTGGCACAAAAGGTATTGTAAATTATATAAGTATTCTCTCTTTGATCTTTGTAGATTATGAAGTCAAGTGTGTTTTATTATGCATTTTGGATTGTCCATGTGAAGTTTGAATGAGAATTTCCAATTGTCCTTGGTTATCTTCATTTTTATCCGAAAATGTTAAAAAATGTTGTAAGGGTAAAGGTTCTTGAACGTATGTGCTAAGATTATCAATGTTCCCTATATATTAGGGTATTCATTCCGGGATGAACTAATTTATGCGATGGGACAATATCCAAGGCAAGAGTTTGATCATTTTTGATCAAGAAATAATTCATACGTTGTTTAATAGAAATATAAAATACGAAAAAAGATGTTAATTTATTTTTCGAAATAATTCAAACGTTATTTAATAGAAATACAAGACATGAAAAAAGACGTTAATTTATTTTTCTTCCCAGTAGTAAGCATGTAAACATAGACTTCATCTTTATTGTCACAAAGATACAAGTTCCACATGGTTGATCCAAACTACAAACCAAACCTTAATTCAGAAACATGCCTTACAAATGCATCCAAATTCTTGAATGAACTTCCCTCTTTTCCAATTGCCTCAACTGCAGCCTTGCTTAGGTTTTTTGCGATCGCCCTTTTCTCTATCCATTTCGCACTTGTAAAGTCACCCAAAAACTTCACTAAATCATTCGATTCAAGTACAGTTTCATCCCCTTCACACACTCTTATTGCAACCTTAAGTTCATCAACCAACAAGGTTGCATTGGCAAATTGATCTGCCCCCATTGGCCATGCCAGCATTGGCACCCCAGCAACAATTCCTTCAATTGTAGAATTCCAACCACAATGTGTCAAGAATGCACCTATGGCTTTGTGCCTAAGTATCAACACTTGTGGGGCCCATCCTTTGATCACGAGGCCTCGTTCGGCCACACGATCCTCGAACCCGGGTGGGATATCGCCATAATCTTCATCGTCCACGTGTCCTTTCGTCTTGCCCTTAACACACAGGATGAATTTCACCCCACTTTTCTCCAAGCCTAAGGTTAGTTCCTTCATTTGCTTATTTGTTAGCACTGCTTGGCTTCCAAAACAGATATAAACTACAGTGTGATCTTGACACGCGTCTAGCCACGAGCTAACTACACTAGACAAAACCTCACTCGGCCCACCCCGCTCAACCGGCCCAACATCATCCAGAGGCAAAACCGGCCCAATGGACCACAACCTATCATTGCCCAACTCATTCGACAAATAATCCAAGTAAACCCTTTCTAGCCCACTAAATGTATTGATCACAAGCCCATAACTCGCCACGTTAGCACGAAACCCATCCTTGACAAATTCTGAAACTGGGTCTCCCTCAATATAGCTACGATATATAGGAGAAAGCTGCCACCAGGGGTAAACCGGACAACTCGGAATCTTGGAAAATTTTATCATTTCATTTTCGTCCTCCGACTTCTGTCTTTTTGGCATATCACACCACAAGGATAAAATTACAGAAATAGCCAAGGCACCGGATGGGTAAAAAACATACCTCCGAATTCCTAGCTCAACGGCAAGATGGTGGATCCACCCCAAGAACATGTCGGAAATGATGGCTACCGGTGGCGAAGGGTGGCTCTCGAACCAATTGAGTATAGGACTTTTGAGTTGACCCAACGCGTGCAACATTGACCGAAAACCACCAGCGGGGAGATCGACGGTGTTCTCGACGCCATCTGGGATGGCGGGGTGCGGTGGAAAAGGGAGGACGAGGGTACTGATGGAGGGGTGTTTGGAGAGAAGAGGGTGGAGGAGGTGGAGGTTTTTAGGGGTGACAAGAATGGTTATAGTGAGACCGGCAGTGGCTAGGTGGTGGGTGAAGTCGAGAAGGGGTATCATGTGCCCCTGCGCAGGATAAGGGAAGATCAGGATGTGTGCTCCGGATTCAGACATCCTTGGTCCTCGGAAAATCGGAGCGAGAATATGGCTGGGGGACTACAATGGGTTTGGTGAGAGAGTTGAATAAGGAACCAATGGAATTCGACCGGGTCATCCTTTTCATTTTTTTTTGGTTATCTGTCCTTTTAGTAGGGCCCTCGTGTTTCAAGATAGATTTAGAAAAAGGATGGAGGTCGCAGGCCCCCACCAGGCAAGAGCGGAGGTGACCTCCTATTTTATTTTTATTTTTATTTTTATTTTTTTTTTGTGGGCCCTGACCCTTACTGTGAGGGTTTTGTGAGGCCCGTGAACCGAGCTCTTGTACGTGGAGCTCAATCCATTTATAAATCAACAGTGCTCTTTGTATAAAAATTTAGTTCACGAAATGTCACAGAATACTCACGACAGGGGAGTGTGTTTTTTTTTGACCTTTTCCTATTACACCATGAAACCCACCCATTTGAGTGTCTCCACCCATGTAAGTGTGTAAAAAAATTCTATAACACATCCTTCTGTACACAGAGCATTTTTAATTGGAAATTGACCTAAGTCCTGCTTCACCCATTAAAATTATCTCCATTTCTTCTTATCAATTATATTCTTTTTAATAAAATATTATTATAAGAAGTTTCATAAATTTTTTTAACTACACGTTCTTTCAAAAAAAAAAAAAATCCAATTGTTATAATTTCAAATAATTCCAAATGAGAAATGTTAATTGTTAATAATGGTATATGTGATAATGAATTATTGTCACATTCATCCATACTATCCATCAAATTCACAATTTAGCAAATAAATTATACCATTTCAAATACAACAAATAACATTTTTCTTCTTATTTTGATACTTCTTATGTTAATCTCATTTAATGATATCCTTCTTTTCTCAGCACTTAGAGCGTATAAGATTTAATATTATTCACCAACCACTTAATTTTTTCGAGGTTTTTTGAAGAAATCAATAATGCATGCTTTGGGCACCGTACAATAAAGAAAAATGTGTTAGAAATTACTTTCTTGACATATTTATTTCCAATTGTACACATGTTTGGTACAACTGTATGTACATAGTTTTGACTCACAGTTGCTAGTCTCGTAAAGTTTTTGAAAGGTTGAAGTTGAAAATTTATTTGAGCTTTCTAAATTGCAATTTGAATCAAATCGAAAGTGCATGGACGAGCTTGTTTCAGGATTTTCCTTAACAGAGCAGCTCGTTTTAAATGACTTGGGTTTACTACGCTAAAAATCACCAAAATTGAATTGCTTTACATTTGAATAAGAGTCATATGTATATTTTTGAATCAAATAAAGCTATATAGTATCAATTGAACACCAGTTAGACATCAGTATGTCATGTGGCCTAATAAATAAGTCATAATAAAAAATTCGGATTTTCAACTTTATGTGAACGATATACATTTTATATGACTAGAGAGAATTGGTTGACAAATTTGATTTGAAGTACTATAAATAAACTCATATTGTTATAAAAATGAAAAAAAGAGAAGAGAACGGAGAGAAGTCAATAGACTTGTGTGTATTTTATTATGAACTAAAGCCCTGTATTTATAGGGCAGAATTAGGGATACAACAGTAATTATTTTTAGGGCTCCAGAGGTATAATTGTCTTTCACCTCTAAATCGTAATAAAATTTTCTTTTACAACACTCTCCCTTGAATGACACATTACAAAATATCTGTCTCGTAAAAATCTTGTTTGATAAAAACACAATGGGAATAAAATCAAAATGAAGGAAAAAGAGTACGATTATTTTGGAGTACTAAAAATAAATGCTGCTGTTACGCCTCATTTTACGAGCCTCGGTACCGAAGTAACCGAAGTGTCATCTCGCCACTCCGAAGCCGGTGAAATCAAATAGATCACTCCGACCTCCCGAAACTTCTCCAAAGTGATACACCGATTCCTATCACTGATCTACCGAAGTGTCCCGTCTCTGAGGTCGGGTTCAAGTGGACCCCCGTTAGAAGATTCGCTGCCAATTTAAGATTTGCTCTTCATATAAGGTTTAAATTGATTTGACGTCCCCCATAAAGCTGTTTGATGTGACTTATCAACTTTATGTCAATTCAACTCGGGGGAAACAAACTGTCCGCCCACTCTACAAGCGCGGCTGATTGACGCCTATGAGCAGACGCTTCATACCGTCAGATGTATACACGTGTTCCACATCCCACGGTTCATACCACCTATAAATACCCAAAGATTGGCCAGAGGCAAAGGTAATGAAACTCTCAATAGATAGCACTCCATAACAAGTTTATATATTCTCCTCCCCCTTTATTGACTGATTGATTTGTGTAGTCCCTGGACACTGTTCCGACCACCCAAACCTGACTTGACCGTCGGAGTGTATACGGCCGCCACCCCCGTCGGTTCCGGCCGTGTGCGCCTGACAGTTTGTTCATTTCGTAGGGAGGAATACGTGGAGTAGCTACAAGTTGGCCACGTGGAAGAGCCATTTTTAGAGGTCAACAGTTTGGCGCCGTCTGTGGGAAACGTCATTCCCCATTCAAAGTCCTACATTCCCCGTCGGAGAAGCCACCGGAAAACCGGCGACTGACCCTGAAAAGGGAGGCATTCTTGAAAAAGAATAAAAGTCAAGTTACAATCCAAGTTCTTACTATCCTTGAAAGAAGAGGTAGGATGAGCTACAGCCGTGAAGACAACCCCATCAGAGAGGCCTCTGAAGAGGAAATACTTCACAACAATGTTACTCATCAGAGACCGCATCACCGGCGTCGACGAGGTGAAAGAACAGCCGTACTCACCGAAGGAATGGCCCAGATAGCTGCAGGCATGAGAGACATAGCAGCTCAGAATATGGCGATGCGGGAACTTCTCATGCAAGCTCAGGGACACCAGATGCCCCAAGGATCGTATCCGGTACGGGAAATCCCTTTGTCTCATTCTCGAGGCCACACGAGTCGGCACACCGAACGTCCTCTCGAAAGAGAGGATAACACCGAAGCGACATCTTATATGCAGGAGAGCCACCCATCAGAACCACCCTTGGGGGACAACTTTCCTCAAGAACATGATGACCAGAGGTCAGTAAGCGTCTTCGACCGGTTAGGGAACGATCCTAGCAATAGGATCCGCCCTTCAAGAGGGTCGGCCCGGTCAGACAACAAAGAGGAGTATGTCCCTCCTCCTAGAAACAGGAAGGAGAGGAGAAACTTAGTCGATTGGGGGAGCCGGGGGAAAGCACCTCCTCCATCCCAAGACGTCCAAGATGACCAAGGATCAGAGGGGCCCTGCCGATCTTACGAGATTGACGATGATGACGATAACCTCCCTTTCTCAAGGGAAATCCGAAGCTTCCCAATGCCAACTAATTTCATGCCCCCAAAGATCCCCAAGTGCGAGGGAAAAGGGGATCCGGAGAAGCACCTCACAAAGTATATGACGCAAATGAGTCTTAGGGGAGCCTCACCTGCTCTAAAGTACAGAGCCTTCCATTTAACACTAGGCGGAGCCGCCGAGGTGTGGTACAGCAGGCTTCCTCCCCTAAGCATCAGAAGTTGGCCGGATTTGAAGAAAGCATTTTTGAACCAGTACCTCTCATGCAGGGAAGGAGAGGCACCGATCCAACGCCTGCAAGACATGAGGCAGGCCCCTGGAGAGATGCTGAAAAGCTATCTCGCCAGGTTTACAGACGAGATTACTTACTGCGAACAGGTCACTGACAGGGAAGCCCTTTCGGCCCTGAAAGGTGGCCTCAACATGAACACTTTGTTTTGGAGGGACGTGCGCAGCAAGAATCCCTCCACGTACGACGAGCTGGTGGAGATGATGAGGGTGGAAATAATTAGTGAAGAAATGATTGATCATCGTAACCGTGCCACGCAGGGACTCCCTCCCCCACAGAGGCAGGTAGGTCGAGGCCCCGCAGCGCCCCTTGTTACTCAGCAATGGACCCAAGCAGGGCATACCATAGCTCCCACATCCGGACAGGCCCTAGCTTTCGCCACATTGAACGCAGTGCCGGTGTTGGCATATGATAGCGCACCCACTGAGGCAGCACCATCCGGAAGAACTGACAACAACAACAAGAAGAAGAAGAGGCCAAACAGGCCCTTGCCAGGAGCAAGATTTTGTACTTTCCATCAACTATATGGGCATGACACCAGTGAGTGTCGGGATGTCAACCGGCGCCCTGATCGAAGCAACCCCCTCACTTCCAGCAGAAATGAGCACCCCCGCAGATCCCCCTCCCCGAGGAGGGAAGGAAGGGGTCACCAGGAACAACCTCCTAGCAGAAGAGAATCAAGAAACCGAGGCCAATCCAGGAAAGAGAACCAAGCTCAATTCGCTGGAAGCCAGGTCATCAGGGAAATCGATACCATCATCGGGGGACCCCACGTCGGTGGCAACACCAGGAACGCCCAGAGAAATTATACAAGAGAAGCTAAGGATCCCCCGATGATCACCTACATTGTCGACAAATCAAAAACAGCGAACAAGATGGCCCCAATCACCTTCTCGCAGGAAGACGCAGAGGGAGTTCACCATCCCCATTGCGATGCTCTGGTTGTAAGGGCCGTAGTGGCTAGAAACGGATTAAAACGCATGCTCGTTGACAACGGCAGCTCCGTGAACATATTGTTTGGCTCCACTTTTGACAAAATGCAAATTGAACATGGGTTAATCCCCATGACCGACCCGCTGTTCGGATTCACTGGGGACAGCATCATCCCACGAGGGCGGATTACCCTGCCTGTGGAAATGGGTTCGGCCCCCCTGGTCGCCCAGCATTTCATGGAATTTCTGGTGGTAGATCATAGGTCGGCTTATCATGGGTGTTGGGCATACCGGCTCTAAAAGATCTTTGGGCTGTGACGTCCATTCACTATCTGTGCATGAAATTCCCAACCGAACGTGGGATTGCAACGGTTCGGGGCGATCAGATGAGCTCCAGGGTATGCTACCTGAACTCACTACGCAAATCGGAGCCCCGGACTATCAATGTAATTCTAGCAGAAGTACCCGCTGAAGCCGGTACGGACGTGGAGATGCTCGACGCCCCTGAACAAGGGCATACCTCTGAACAAGAGGAAGATGTCATAATGGAAGAGGCCCCTGAACAAGGACACCCTCTTGACGAGTTAGATCCCCGAATAATTGATTATGAACCAAACGCGACCCCAATGGAAGAACTGGAAACTTTTCCAGTCAATCCAGAAGACCCCAATCAAGTCTTGCGCATAGGGAAGTCATTATCGCCTGAAGCAA